AAAATCAAGTGTGAGTTTTTGTTCCACATTGTGAATTTATATATAGTTAGCTCTCATGTGGTGGGTGGTAGTGAGGAGCGAAGTAACTACCCGAGCTCAATGCAGCTCATTTAATAAACGAGTCGATCAAGTTCGAGTTCGTTTAGTTAACGAGTCAAAGTGGGATAATTAGACTAAGATAGAGATTTTCTACGTAATTTTTTAGTTTGACTCGTTAAGATTCAAGTTTAACTTGTTATGACTCAAGTTCGACTAGTCAATATTGGTAAATGATCTGAACATGCTTGTTTATTGGCTCGTTTTATTCTTGATAAAATTTGAAGTCTGAACTTGAGTATCGAGAGCTCGAGCTTGGCTCAGATTTTTAAGTGAGGGCCAACCACCAAATATTGATGTTGTGAGATTGCCAAATAGTAAAGCACATTATCATTATGCTTTTTGGGAAAAAAACATCGTATCCCCCTATATATAATTTTCGAATGCGCTGAGCCTACATGACTGTTTCTGGTGCTTCGAAATCTTATTTGGCGATAAATCATGCTTCGTAATTAGGTTTGAACAAATAATATTGATATATTAATAATTAATAATCTAGGTTCGGACATTCTCTAAATATTATTTAGCTAAATTAGGTATTTTAATATCACTTGTACTAATATAACCCTTTAATTCATTGTAATGTTACATAGTGAGACAGTAAGTGACTAATATATCCATCACTTTTGATTTCATTCCTTCAATTAGCTATTGAATTATAAATGTATTTTAAAAATTGATAACTTTTGTATTTCTTATCGATTTTACATATATAATATATCAAATTAATCATCTTTTGATGATCTTCGATTTGACATCCATATTGTATATATGAAATAAATAAATTATATTTATCTTTATAATAATAAAAAATAATATTATTTATTAAAATTCATTAGAAAATAAAATTATTTCTCAACTGATATATTTATGTTTAATGTAGTTATATATTGTAAGTTAAAAAAATTATTATAATGTAACACATGTAAGTCGCACAAGTAACAAGTGACATACTAAATATATAATAATATATATATTTATATAATCTATTTAAATTTTCAACTATTTTTTCTCATTAATTAAGAAAAGCACTCGTGTAATACACGGGCGTTATACTAGCTTATATCGTTATACATCAGGCTTTATATATATTAATTTTGATATTTGCAACATTTTAGTACCAATGTCTGCAAAATTTATTTGTAAGATATAATTGTTCAATAATTAGATGTGTAACAAATTATTTTTTTAATTTTAATAAAAAAATAAGTATTTAAGTACTAAGGTAGTAAGTAGATACCCACTTGATGGTAGCCGGTAGGATTGGAATCCAATACAAACAATTATATTATGAAATCTGCTCGTTCATCTTTT